CAGTTTTGCTTCCTACAAACAATACAGGTACTATAAATTTACTTCTTGCTTTCTGCACAAAATTTGAAATAAGTTACAAATAATACAAAAGCACTTTTTTTTCTAACAACTATTTTCTTTTTTTTCCCCCCCGTTTTTTATTTTATTTTATCAAACAGGTGGAGCTGGATCAAGTTGTCCATGCATGGAATAACCATCGTATACGATCTACAAATAATCCTCGGGCTCCTCATGGTCGTCCCACATTAATGCATGGTGTATGGGGTTCCACATTTTTTACAGTCTGCTAATTTAACAAAGCTGGAAATATCTATAGAAGAATGTCGTTTCAAGGACTTTCCCTGTGATGTTGATGTATTTCACTTATGCACTGAACTCATGACTGAGCACAGACTGCTAATGACACATGATGTGTATGAAATTACTAATCTTTATGTAAGACTCCGTCAAATTATCAGTGATGGGCTGAAGGAATAGTTTCTCTAAGTCACCCAGGTCCACAAAACATCTAACAAGTCAGATATTATGTATATATGTCCTGTGTAAACACTGTGTGATTGTAAAACTAAAATGAGTTACAATTTGTTTCCACGGTTTACTTAAAAGGACAATTTATTTTAGTTTCCTTTAATCTTGTGGTCAAGGTCAATTTATTAATTTCTATGTATTTAATCTTATGTATTAATGTAAAATACTAGTCTCTTGTTCAAAACAGTACTAAATAGTACCAACATTTGCAGGTTCTCTGTTTTCTTAGCCTTACTTGTCCAGGGAAACTGTTGATATATGGACAGGAGTATTACATGTACAAGCAATGTTTTAATCATGTCATTACTAACATATAACCAATATGCTGTTGTTTGCAGTTGGTATTAATTTGATAAGAGTACAAATGTTGTCCTTACTCTTGACATATATATGTTTTTCAGTATTATGGCCAATCAATTTACAGTGCAACAGCAAATCATAAACAGACTCTACACTTTATTCAAAATGTATTTATTTTGTATTCTGTCAACAAAGAACAATCCATTGTTTTGACATCCCCAAAAATAAATCACAAGTGCTTAAAAAATTGCCTCTGTGTATAGTGCACTCATTTAATAAGTGTAAGATAAAGGAATTTACCAAGTTGTGCCCAGTAAAACAAAAAAGAATACTCCTTTTATAACCTTCCACAAAATAAATCCAATGTGCAAAAAAGAGAAAGAAATTAGAAAACGATTTTATTATGAATATGAATGCAATGTAAAAAGTACAACTGTCAGCACAGTTGTGTCTCATAAAAAGATACAATAACAATAAACAGTTCCTATCTTTGTTTATTTTGGCTGTGAACTTCTAAACATTTCCTACTGTCATTTTCACTTTACCTCTTATGATTTATTATGTCAGCTAACAATTAACATGTAAATTATGGCATGACAAAAGTCAGCTACATTTTGTTGTCTGGCATCATGGCTTTCCAGAGATAGAATTTTTGACTGCTCCCCTGACAGTTAACAGATATGCAGAACTTGTGCATGTGTGATGGAATATCTCCCTTGTTGAGTTTTGACAACCTACCCTTAAACAAACCAACAGCTGTGCTGCATAAAGCAGCATTTTCCCATCACAAACAATTGATCCCTTTTTATTACATCTGGAAAAAGTTTGGGAAGGGTAACATCCCACAGGTAAAATGTTATCTTTAAAACCTTAAAGTCTGACAAGGAAATTTGGTGGAAAATTCTAAAAAATATTTAGTTAGATTTTGATGGACAAATTATTACTTTAAATAGCCACCTTAATCCCTTTTTTTCAGAGTTCCACAACTGTGGAACTCCACCACTTTCAAAACTAAATAATGTCCATGACCCATACATTAGACTCCAAAACCTTGTTCATTTCAGCACTGAAATCTGGATAGCTATCATAATGGATTGGATTGATAGCTCAAGGACACAGCCACATGTGTGAGCCACAGGTCTTCTGAGAAACCCTTGAATATTTGTGAAATCAATAAGAATTTTCTTATCCAGGAACAGGTCTGAACCTGTGCAGAACCTTAGAAACAAGGACAGATGTTGCAAATCTGCATTCCTGATATATGTGCTAACGTACTTTTGAATGTCGTTCTGATGGACATTCATTTCCTCAGGAAAAACAATGGACTTCAAAACTTTTCTTGCATTTGGTTGCAAGTTTTCATACACTGAAGAAAGGTCCGGGAAGCTGTTCCCAGTGATACTGAGTGTTTTGGCCCACTGATCAATAACGTAAGCAGGCTCTTGGACAAGTGTTTTGTGTGCAAGCTCTTGGAGGATTTCCTTTACATTGCTGGCAGTGGGCATTCGTCTGCAACTGTGGTTATCAAGAATCTCTATCAATTCCTCTTTGTCAACACTGCTGAAGTCTGACTGCCATGATGAAACACAAAGCGCTCAGATTCAGACATGCACCTAAGGAAATTCTCCACCACCTCACTTTTTACCTGTCCAAAGGCAGCTTGCTCTAGTATGACAGGTGCAATCTTGATAGGAAGATATTTCTCTTTTGTCCATCCAAAAACAATTATTCGGCCTACACTCTCCCACTGCTGCATGTCTCAGAAAAGGCACTTTGTAAGTGTTTCCTGTAGTACACTGGTCATAGATTTCTTTCCAGAATTCAGAAAGACAGTCTCTAACGACTCCCCCGTCATCATAACCCATCTCAGGTGTTCCATCTGGGAGTACAAGCTGGATTTTTAAATCTCTATCTAGAAGTCCATCATCACAGAAATGTAGTATGAGCTCGGGAAGTACCTGTCCTCTGTGAACTTTCAGTATCTTCTTCACTGCCTTGGCAGATGATGTGGATTGAGGGGATATTGGCAAAGTATCATCCAAAATCTGTGGCTCACTGTCAGAAAACGGTCCTAGAAACACTATGTTACTGCTATCCAAATCCTCCTCCCTCAGCTCTGCAGAATGAAGTGAAAAGTTAATATTGTCATGATTTGTTATGTTTCCAACAAATAGGAAGTCAGGAGTTACTTCTGTGGATATTGTAAATTGGCTGGTCATTGCAACATTTACAGCAGATGAAGAGGAAGGCTGACTCAGAGAACTGTCTTGATCCTGAAAAAATGGAGAAGATAAAACTTCATCTTGACTGACTGACTGTTTGGCCTTCTTTTTATGGGTGGTCAGGTAAAACCCGAGAATAGTCAGTTTTGTAACATGAAACATTTGTCCAACAGTGATTTTGTCATCAATTGCCACTTCCTGATAATCTTTCAGATCTATTTCAAAATCTGCTATGGATCGTTCTCTATTTCTTCCATTTGGAAAGAAAATGTCAACAGCCATCTGGATTATCTCACTTTTTTTAGCATCCTTTGATACATCGACCTTCCTTGTTCCGCCACCTTTTCTTGCTCTTACTTGTTTAAAAGCCTGTTGTTCTTCATCATACACAGCAGCCAGCCTATTTCTATTTTTCTCTTTGACTCCAGAGCATTCTTCTTTACAGTTGTTTCAGATTGCTCTTCTTTTTCCATAGCACGGCAATCATCACAAGCAGTTTTTATTTTACCCAGCTTTGATTTCAGGCGCTCAAATAGTTTTGATTTGCGACTGTTTGGGTGGCCATTTTCCTTCCTTTTACAGTATCCTAATAGGGCTATGAGGTCTCCATATGATGGCAAATAATTCTTTAGGTCTTCATCTGTCATGAGCTGGATGACGTTGGTATCAATCTAAACAAGGAGAATAAAAAATAATTTCTTTAAAACTACAAAAATGGAATTAGAATTGCATGCAAATTATTTTAATCAAATTAACATTGCTAGACACATGCTTTAAAAAAACTGTAGTTTCTGAAATATTGATTTAGTACCTTCTCTCTCAGCATGGTCTCGATAGTTTCCTCAGGAATATTCCTTTGTCTCAGGAAATCACCCAGGTCATCCATTCTGTAATCATACACTGGAAGAGAAGATACACAAGACCATCATCATAGGTTTCCAATAAAATGTAAAGCAAGTCATAATACAAATTAGAATTTTACCTGAAAAACTAATCATAATATAGTCATTCATAATGCCATCCATCCATTTTCTAACACCCTTATCCCTAGTGGGGTCGGGAGGTGCTGGTGCCTGTCTCTAGCTAATGTTTAGGCCGAGAAGCGGGGTCACCCTGGACAGGTCACCAGTTTGTCGCAGGGCAACACAGAGACAGACGGGACAAACAACCATTCACACACACACTCACACTTAGGGAGAATTTAGAGACCAATTTAGCTAAAAGTCATGTTTTTGGATTGTGGGAGGAAGCCGGAGAACCTGGAGAGAACCCACCATGCACAGGGAGAATATGCAAACTCCATGCAGAAAGACTCCAGGCCGGGACATTCATAATGCATTTAAGAACTATGTTTTTTTGTCAAATGACTTTACTAAGGCTAAACTCGAACTATTTCAATGTCACAAATAAATTCTTTCACAACAATATTCAGCATCTTTTTAAATATATTGAGAAACTTCTTTAAATTCACAGAAATGATAAGAAAATATTTATTGGTAATAACAAAGAACTGTACCATTCCATATTGACACTGTCTTCAGGAGTAGAAAAGGAAAAAACACTGAAAATTAAGCCATCTGTGGAGCATAGAGGTTTTTCAATAGAGAACTGGAGAAACACACTATGGCAGAGAAGTCACTTATACCTCTTGTGTGACCAGAAAAGGCCAGTAAAAATGCAACTCCTCCACACCATCCAGTGTTGTCTTTCTGAAACAACCCGCACTGTACAAAAGCAAGCACATATGGTTTTGATTGTTACTTGAACTTACTGATTAAATGAATGAAAAAGATTTGCAGACAGACAAAATATTTATTGACTTTTTTACATTTTTTGCTTGGGGTGCAGTTACATAAATTATGTAGAATTTAACAATAATGTCACGGGACAAGGGAGCATTCTGACCCACATGCAGTAGCCACTCAGGAGACCAGAGACCTTTGAACTGATTTATTGAGAACGGAGTACTGTGGTGCTGCAGGAAAGCGAGTTGTGGAGGGCTGGGAAGGTCCAAGTCCGGGCAGAAGGGGTCAGGCTTGGGAGAACGCGAGCTGGAGCTGTTGGAGGGCAGAGAGATGGTGGCAGGCTGGGTCCCAGGTTGGTGGAGGCTTGGAAAAAGGGTAGCAGGCCGCTGGAGGGGCTGAGCTGGATGCCGCAAGGAGAACACTGGAAGATGCACAGACTGTTATTCGCATGAAAAGCACTTAGAAAGCCATGACGTTTAAGAGCTTAAGGTACCGCTTAGGTTGACACTCAGGTGAGAAATCAATCACAGCCAGCTCCTTAAATAGCTTCTGCTCCTGATAAGCATAACCAGGTGCAGCTGTGCTGCACTGCCCTCCTGGTTGTTGAGGCTTCAAAATAAAAGACAAGCATACATATACATCCAGGAAACCATGACAAATAATAAAAAAGAGAGAGAGAGAGAGAGTACGTGACATAAAATGCCATGACATATTTTAGCTTAACTTTTTTTTAAAAAATAAATAGGCTTAGAGGTATTGTTTTGGTGGCTTGGGAGTGAGACGCAGCATCTACGAACTACTCACCAGTTATCACACCACGATTTTGTGGTAGACTGAACATGTGTCATTACAGCAAATAAATGTACCACGTAATCCTGAGATATTAACACCAGTCAGTTGTGGACTGACGAAGTAAAGAAACAGAAAACGTTAGCTTCAAAGATATTAATGCATCTTCTTAAGCTATCTTCAAGATTAGCTACCGTCGTCAGTATGCCAAATTGATCACTTTATACTCTGCTATCTTATATTACAGACTTAACTTAAATTAACAAAACCACATTTCTTACCGTTGTAAACAGCTACGTTTAGCTGGGTGCTTGCAGGCGGCAGGCGCGACCCACTGTAAAGTAATCCCGGTACAGGTGGATTGAACCAATTCGAAACCTCCACAGTCCTGAGCCTGTGTAGACTATCTCATTATTTCGAGATAGTATCTCATTATAATGACATACTATCTCATTATTTTGAGATAGTATCTCATTATTTTGAGATAGTATCTCGTTATTTTAAGATAGTATCTAATTATTTTGAGATACTATCTCATTATAATGATATACTATCTCATTATTTGGAGATACTATCTCATTATAATGAGATTATTTTTTATTTTATTTTTTAGCAGAGTGGCGGAAACGGGCTTCCATACTTTAGTTCTTACGGAATTAGTAAAAAACGTGGGGTAGCCATTTTGATTAATAAGTCTGTTTATTTTACTATGAAAAAGTTTTTCAGGATCCAGGATCCATATATAATGGTAGTGGGAACCATTGCAGGGATAACATTGAGTATTTTAAATGTGTATGCCCCGAATGAGGATTGTCCATTTTTCTTTAAAAAACTTGGAAATCTTTTGGCAGAGAAAGGAGAGGACTTACTGCTTATAGGTGGGGATATGAATTGTGTTCTTAGCAATAAATTAGATAAATTACCCTCAACATTCAAACCCCAAAGTCTAGCGACTATGATGACAGAACTCGGGCTAATTGACATTTGCCGTCATCTCCATCCAAAGGAGAAATATTTCAACATTTATGTCCCAGGTACACAGCAGCTACTCCAGACTAGATCACTTCCTAACAACAAAAAAGAACATTCATCAGGTTAAAGAATGTTTAATGGAATCAATTACAATTTCGGATCATAGCCCTGTGATAATGAAATTTGACTTAGGTTCGGAACCTTGTTTTCGGTATTGGCGGTTAAATGTATCAATACTAACAGATGCGCTTATTCGAGAAGAAATACAGACAGCCATAAATGAATATTTAGTTTTTAACGATAATGGAATGGTCTCACCCTCCGTCCAATGGGATGCAGCAAAAGCCACATTAAGGGGCAAAATAATCTCCATATGATCCAGATTAAAGAAACAAAGGATGCAAAAACAATTTCAGATTGAGAATTAAATCAAAAGATTGGAAAATGAACACAAACAACAAGGGAAAAAAGAGGCTTGAGATAAACTTAAAGAAAATAGAAATAAGTATGAGAAATAAGGATGACTTGTTGACTTATAGGGCGGAGGGATCCCTCAGATTTATTGACAGGAAATACTACGAATTTGGAAATAGGGCTAGCCGTTTATTAGTGTTTCAATTGAAAAAGGCTCAGGCGAGCCGTATCGTCCCAAAGATTAAGCAACCTAATAGTAATTCAATTGCAACTTGTCCAAAAACAATATCAGACAATTTTGCTAAATTTTATGAACAGTTATACAAGAGTCAAAACCAGGAATCAAAAGAAGACAAAATTCATACGTTTTTTAAATCAGTGCAAATGGCTAAACTGACAACAGATGAAGCCTCAAGGCTAGTTGAGCCTATTAGAGAAGATGACATCAGAGAGATTATTGGTAAATTGAAACAAAACAAGACACCAGGAACGGATGGGTTCGCAGGAGAAATTTACAAGGTCTTTATTATTGATCTCACACCCATACTGTGCAAGCTTTGTAATTGTAGGGTATTTTCGAAAGTCTCAGTAAAAATCCGTTATAGATTGGAGCTTTGTGGCTGACGCGTGTTCCAGGATCCAAAAAACTATAGCTTCCACTGACGTCACAGTTATAGGCTATATGCCTCCGGCACGAGTTCATAAGCTTTTTCCACTGCACTCTTCACTTTATCATAATTTAAACTGTCACCAGGTGACAGCGAGGCATAGGCTTCCTGCGCTTTTCCGGTAAATACGCACTGCAGAAGCAGCGACAAAACCTCCTTAGGCCACTTCAGTGCGTTTGCCACACGTTCAAACAAGATGAAATATTTGTCTACATCCGATTCAGTAAACGGTGGAATCAAACGAATACATTTGTTCATGCAAAATTCTGCCCCAGCAGAACTGCCGGCCTGATTAACAGAAACGCGTGCAGAATCGCGTCTGGCAGCCGCCTCCAATTCCAATTTGCGCCTCTCCACTTGATGCTGCAGCTCTTTTTCTCTGAGCTCTAAACGACGCATCTCCAATTCCAACTCCATTTTACGCACATCAGCGTTAGACGCCCCAACTTCACCCTGAGTGGTTGATTCGGGAGGTGGCAAAATGTTTTGCTCAACCAATGCGGCATACAGTCACCTTTTAATAATCTCCTTTTTCTCCTGTTTAACCACAGGTACTTCAAACTGAGCAGCGATAGCTATGAGATCGTTTTTAGTAGTAGGCCTACCACTAAACTTCTCCAGAGAAGGTTCAGCTACAAAACCATCGAGATCAAACTCCATTTTTAAGCAAAACTGTTGTCACGCGACGCAGGAAAGAAAAAAAAAAAATCATCCAAGCTCAACGGCAAAAAATTGTGTAAAGTAAATTGAAACAAGTGCACAACGGGCCCAAAGCAACCATGTTCCCACTATACTTTACCTGCCTGACCCGACTCACCTGCCTAATTGATTCCTGGCTCTTCACGTGGATCGGCGGCGGGTTTATTAAGCACCAAACCAGTAAGAAATTAATCTCACGGATTGCCCCCGAGATCACCGCTTGCGCAGTGAACGCCAACTGCAAACCCCCACGACACTACCAAAACAACAAACAGGTGAAATCTCAAGCGACATCACCACTTAGCCTAGCAGGAGACACAATCACTAAAACAGGACTAACATTGATGCACAAGCCCCAAACAACATTTCACTCACCTGCATATTGGATTACGCAACCAAACATGCTACAGCTGCCCACAAAATTGACTAACAAAACCGTGCCCCACCCACAACGGTGATATCACTGCTCACTCCTACAACATAGGAACAAGGTGAATAAAACACGTCATGTAGTCAAACGAACAAATTTACAGACTGTATAAATGTAGCTTTGGACGAGCCCCCATTTGTTACGACCCGGCCTGACTGGTCGCAACAAAAAAACTGGGGGGGACACGGAAACAGGCAGTGCTTTAAGCCTATAGAAGGCATTTATTTAAGAGAGTCCAGAAATGGTCTAGGCGTCGGCATCAGATGGTTACTCAGATGGGGCGATCATGACTGGTCCCTCCACACCCCCGAAGTCGCTGGAACGGCACTCCTTAAATTCCACCCAGGTGGCCGGATGATGGAAGCACCTCCCACTTAGAGGACCTTAATTGATAATTGACAGCAATACAGCACACATGCATACCGGACCGCACAGCAGGGCCGTCACAACAACCAAAATCTCACTTGCACTCACTTTCAATCAAAAGATATCACACTTTCCACTAGAAATCCAGAAATAAGCTCCTTTGGCCAAGAGATGCACAAAACAGGATTTTGCTATAACTTCCCAGTAATGAATACAATCTAGGTCAAATAACTTTCAAAGTTTTATTTGGCACATCCCCTGCCTTGTCAGAAAGAGTTACGTTGGTAATAACTTGCAGTCAAAAGATATCACACTATCAAAATGTAAAAAATGTAAGACATATACATCAAACAGGATTTTTGTGTAACTTCAAAGGAATGATTCAAAACTTGTTCAAATCACTTTGGAAGTGTTCTACATCACATTCCATGACTTCACAACCA